CCGGATGACGTCATCCCCCTCCGCCTCCTCGGACAGCCCTTGCCGCGGGGGCTGCCGGGGGCGCGCCGCGCGCAGACTGAGTCTGCGTCAGCCACCTTGACCTCGGCAAGGACCCGCCACAAAGGGGACGCCTGAAGGCGGTGGGAAAGTGTGACCAAGCGCAGGTTGGCTCTTGGCCCTCCCTCGGGTGATCGGGCTTCTGCCCGGCGCTCCCTTCAGGATCAGTCTAGCTGATAGCCCTCTTCTCGGAGGTGCTCCACACTGGCCTCCCCTAGTTGTCACTCCTCTCCGGGCCAGTCTCGCCCCTTCTCTTTTAAACCAATGGAGGAGCGGGTCCTTTGCGGATCAACTAAAGGGACTGGTTGTTCCACCCGCTGCCTCACTCCTGCCCACTGGAGCCCAAGAGCTTGAAGAGCACTTGGTTCCAGCCCCTTGCCCGGAGCCTGTCAAATTGCTAGATCAGTCGTTCTTTGACGTCCTAGTGTAGTCCTAGGGAAACCATAGCCGACCATTTCATTTGTGCATGTACTTTTGTGGCTTATGGAGCGATCATTCCCTTACGGGTTTGATGTATCTGAAATCACAGCTTCTTTCAGGGATGTGAAACTATTGTATTGCACCGCTGGAAGACAGTTACTTCAAAACAAGAAATTTCACCACTCAGCTATTTATTGTTCGGCTTCTGGAACGTGCCACATACTGTTCATAACCCTGAGGATTCGGCGTTGAACAGAGCCAACACATGCTCTACCCTGGTGGAACTTTCCTCTCAGCAGAGGAGAGGCAATAAGGAAAAAAAAAAAAAAAAGACAAGTGGAAAGGAGAAAAATACAAACTAAGGAAGAAAGAAGAGGATCTGTAACAAGACAGTTGAGGTTTTAAACGGGTTGATTAGAGAAGACCTCAAGACAAGGGCACAGGCTATACAGGCAGCATCTGGGAAAGGTTGTGTCAGAAAATAGAGATAGCCAGTACAAAGGCAAGGGACAGGACTGCACCTGATGTGTTTGAGAGGCAGCAAGAAAGAGTGTGTGGTGTTGGGGCAGAATGCATGAAGGGGAAACTAGGGATAAGAGGAGAGGCAGGGAGGTAGGAGCAGGAGGACATACAGGAGGTACTCCAGGTGAGGTAGCTGGCTATGGGCCATGGGCAAGGCAGAGTCATGATACACTTGAGTTTTAACTGGGCCACTGTGGCGCCTCTGCTACTCCAAAGTCAGGGCCTCCAGGATTGGGGGTGGAATTGATGCAATGTGAGAGAAAGAGAACTCAAATATTTATTGACTGCATTGTCGTGATTGAAGCACCTAGAAGAATGGATTTCCAGGCCTCACGACAATGAATTATTCTATAAATGACAAATCCATTTGATTGATGTCCTTTTTAATTTTACTTCCTGCTGCATCTGTCCATTTCTTTTTTTTTTTCTCATTGAGTTTATTGGTACATTTTAGGTGTACAGTACAGTTACATTCATCATTAGGATCTTGTACCTTTACATGACAGGTCCTGGTTCTCATTTTTTCCCCATACCCCTACCCTCCCTTCATCCCCTCCTCCCTTCCTTATTTACAAAAACTTTATTTCCATGTTTTCATTTTCTCATATTTTTTCTTTTCCTTTATTCCTTTCCCCTACCCTTCCCACTTCCCCTACACCTTTAGCCTGTTTCTTCCTATTTCACATTGTCAATTATACCATTAGGATCTTATTTACGATTATAGTTTTTCACACCAGAGAAACTATTCAGTATTTACACATGTGTACTTATTTATTTCACTTAAGCTTATATCCCTAATATGCATCCATTTTCCTATGAATGACTCTCATTTCTCATTCTTTATGGCTGAGTAGTATTCATTTTATAGAAAAACCACATCTTCTTTATCCATACTCCAACTGATGGGCAAATGGGCTGTTTCCAAGTTTTAGCTATTACAAACTGCTGCTATAAACATAGGTGTGTTTAATTTTTTGACAATAGCTATTTAAAACTGGAGTAAGATGGGATCTCAATGTAGTTTTAATTTGTCTTTCTCTGATGGTTAAACATTTTTTTGTATATTTATTGACCATTTGTACTTCTTTTGAAAAATATCTATTCAGATTGTTTATCTCGATTGGATTATTATTATTTTTGTCAAATTTGCTGTTGTTGTCTCTTGGGTTTTTTAAATTGAGTTTATTGGTACATTTTAGGTATACAGTACAGTTTCATTCATTATTGGGATCTTGTACCTTTACATGACAGGTCTTGGTTCTCATTTTTTCCCCTTGTCCCTGCCCTCCTTTCACCCCCTCCTCTCCTCCCCTTTTCTCTTGGGTTTTTTGAAACAGGGTCTTATTATGAAGTCCAAACTGGCGTTGAACTCACTATGTAGTCAAGGCTTGCCTCAAACTCACAGTGCTTGTCCTGCCTCAGCTTTACAAATGCTGAGGTTACAGGTGTGTGCTACCTTGCATGGCATTTTTAAGTCATTTATAAATTCTGAATATTAATTTGGTCAAATGAATGCCTGACAAATATTTTTATTCCTCTCGGTAGGTTGTTTTCATTCTGTTCATTATTTCCTTCGTGCAGAAACTTTTTGGGGGGGGGTACCTGGGATTGACCTAGGGTCCTTATGCTTGCCATGCAGGTGGTGGAACCATTGAGCTAAATCCCCGGTCCTAGAAACTTTTTAATTTGAGGTAATCCCATCTGTCAATTCTTGTTTTTGTTTTCTGAGCTATTAGAGTTCTATTGAGGAAACTGTTGTTTGTGCCAGTATCTTGAAATAGATAGTGAAACCTTGTCTCAAAAAAGGAGGGAGGGGGGATTTAGCTAAAGCAGAACAAGGGGGGGGGAGAAATAGGGGGTCTAGTTTCAGCCTGTTATACATGTGGATATCCAGTTGTGTAAGTTAACTTTTTGTCACTGTAACAAAATATCTGCTAACGTCAACTAAAGCAGGAAAGGCTTATTTTGGCTCACTCTTTCAGAGCTTTAGTAGGATGGTTGCCTGGTTCCACTGCTGTGGGCAATGTGAGGCAGAGCATTGTGGAGGAAGGGCCTGTTGAGAGAGGATGCTCAGCTTATGGAAGCTGGGAAGCAGAGAGAGGGGAAAAAACCAACCAGGAAGGGGCCAGGAACAAAATATACCCTTCATAGTCATGACCCCCAGCAACCTGTTTTATCCAGTTATTGCCTAATCCTAATAAACCCATTGAATTATGAACTCACCAATGGATGAATCCCTTGGTAAAATTAGAGCTCTCATGAGCCAATCACTCCCTAAAAGCCCTATATCTGACCTATGCTGCAGTGGGGACCAAGCCCATAACACATGAATATCCAAACTGTAACACCAGTTTTCCCAGCACCATTTGTTGAGGAATCTGTCCTTTCTCCAAAGTATATTTTGGCTGAAGATGCATGGATTTATTTCCAAGACCTCTATTGTGTTGCATCGGTCTACATGTCTATTTTTATGTCAGTACCATTCTGTTTTTTTTTTTTTAAACAATATCCGTAGTGTGTTTTGAAATCAGGTATTACGATCTCTTCAACATTGCTATTTTTGCCCAGGATTGCTTTGTTTATTCAGAGTCTTTTTTGTATTTCCATATGAATATTAGGATTCCCCCTGCCTCCAGTTCTGTAAAATATGTCATTGGTATTTTGATGAGGATGCGCTGAATCTGTAGATCATGTTTGTTAGTGTGGCTACTTAACAATATTGATTCTCGAAAGCTATGAATATGGACAGTCTTCCTACTCCCCCACCCCCACCCCCCATACTGGGGAGCAAACCCAGGACCTTGTGCTTGCAAGGCAGGTGCAGCACCACTGAGCTAAATCTCTGGCCCAGGTCTTCCTAATTTTTTTTAGTCTTGTTCAGAATTTTTCTTCAGTGTTTTATAATTTTCATTGTAGGTGTATTTCACATCCTTAGATTTATTTCTAGGTGTTTGTTCATTTGGGGCTATTGTGAATGGGTTTTCTTTTCTGATTTCTTTCTTGGGGAATTTGTTATTGTTACCTAGAAATGGTACTGGTTTTTTAACCCTGATTTTGTCCTTGTTCATTTACTGATTTAGCTAATCAGATCTAAAGGCCTTTTGGTGGAATCTTTGAAATTTTTTTTTTTGTACTGGGGATTGGATTCGGGTCCTTGTGCTTGCAAGGCAGGCCACTGAACCCCTGAGCTATAAAATCCCTGGCCCTTCTTTGAAGTTTTAATGTATAAAATTATATTATCAGTTGCTGGGGATTAAGCTCGGTGGCAACATGCCCGCCTTGCAAGCCTAAGGTCCTGAGTTTGATCCCTGGTACTGGAAAAAATATATATTATCAGTAACCAGGGATAATATGACCTCTTCCTTTTCTATTTGTATACATTTTATTCCTTTCTCTTGCCTGATTTCTCTAAACTCTCTGTTACAATACTGAGTAAGAGTGGTGAAAATCGACTTCTTTGTCCTGTTCCTGATCTTATAGGAGGTGATTTCAAATTTTTCCCTCATGTAGTGTGATGCTGGGTATGTATGTTATATATAGTGTATTGAGATATGATCCTTCTACATCTAATTTATTCAG